ATATTATGTTTTTGGACATTATCCTCCGTCCTGTTTACTTTCAAAACAACGTTTCGGAGACTGATTTCTATCTCCGTCTTCAGGTAAAACTTACTTAGTTGGTCCCAATCGATAGAACAAGTCCCTATCTCCAACTGAGTAGGTGTTACCTGAAGATGGAGGCAGAATCCAGTCTCTGAAACGTATTTTGAAGAAAAAACAGGACGCTTTTTTAGATAAAGACAGGAAGATGGATAATGCCCAGAAATATAATATTTGTACTGATACACCATCTTCACAAACTTTTACATCTTATTTACCTTATATGCTCTTTTTTATGTTACCGGTTATTAATCGCCAGGGCTGTTACCTTTAAAGTAACAGCTATCATAATTAACGGGGTCTTCCTGAATCAGTTAACTATAATGCACACCTAGAGCATTTTTAGAGGTATCCTCCCATCTACGCATGTCTTCCCAGTGGTCTGTCACCTTGATGTTTCTTCTGAAAGCCTGTATTCCCATGTAATTTCCTCCATGCATACTAGATGCTCCGCCCATCGCATATTTTTTATTTAATTACCCCAACGGTGTTAGAGATAGAGTACAAATTATGGCTTAATAAAAATATTTTAGAATTGAAATTAATATTATGTAGTGTGTCAACATTTTGACGACTCATATCCATCCAGTGCGGAGGACAACAATGCTGGACCTATACTTGCGCTCCTCCATACGTCTTCGTGGCGTCTTGCTTAATTAATTAATCAATCACAAGGACAACTTTAACGTAACCTTACCATCCGTTTTTCACGTCCCTTCTGTCTTATTATGTAGCTGTCTTCCATTATGGTTTCTATTTTACATTGTTATGATTTCGAAAGTAAGTCCGTTGAGGTCTATTAGTCAGCGTAGCAGAGTTAATATTCTCCGACGTGTAACTCAATTATAAAATTTAAGCTAGCTGTATAAAGAGGAAAGTGAATTTAACCTGGATTTGTTTTTAACCTTTTTCGGTTTAGATTCCGAGACAGTCTCTCACGTTGGTACTTGTTAAAGCATGGTTGCCGTACGCTTCACTTACCTTCCATAGAAGTGGCAGAAAAGTGTCAAAAGTGGGACAGATTTTTGTCACTTTGAGAGTGTTACCGTGAATTTGATGTTTAACTTATTAAGTACGTTAAAAAATGTGTGACGATTATGTTCGAAGTTGCGTTTTCTATTTCTATATGCATGCCGTTGTTTCATTTAAATGAAATGTCCTCTCAGAGATATTTACTAATTTAAAATATGAACTTTTTACGCAGAGAACATTTAGAGAAAGTCTTGTCTGTCTTTCCATACATTCCCATCTTACAAGTCCGAAACTACGGAACACATTGCGATTAAACTGGGTTTGGGGGCGCTCACAAGAAGTTTTTGCATAAATCAGATATTATTTCTGAACGCTGTCAGTTAGGTCCTTGTTTCATAGGCTCTACTGTTGCGATGTTGGTAGCCTAATCTAAGCAACCTGTAAGTTAGGAGAAATAACGCCCCCCCCCTGCATCTAACCCGAGTTTTAAATACAACATACAATTAATTTTTATGCTGTTTATACTTTTAATATTTCTACTTTCATATTTTCATTTGATCTTTATGTTTTAATCATAATCATAACATGAATTGTATACTAAATCGTAGATATTTACCTAATATATAAATATATATTCGCTAGCAACGTAGCCATCAGTTACAAGGATACGGATCCTTATTATAACCAATATTTTAATCACTCGAGTTATGTTCATATGTCAGCGGCCTCCGTAGTCTAGAGGTAACGTTCCCACCTCATGACTCGTGGTACGCGGGTTCAAATACCCGGCGGAGGTCGTCGAATTTTTAAGGGCGGAAAAACTCAGGGAACAAGTCCTCCGGGAGGGACTTTAAGCTGTGTGTCCCGTGTCGTAACTTTACGGCACGTAAAAGAACCTCATATCCCCAAAGGGGATCACTGAGCCAAATTCCAGGACGTTTCCCGCCCAACAATAGCCTCTAAGGCCTCCGATAGATGGGGGAAGCATTATAGACACCGCTAAGCAAGTGGCCGAACTCGCTTGCTCGGCGGGACTGATGGTACGCACCATTTATCGGTAGGGTAAAGAGACTGGTAGAATATCATAGAGGGAAGCACAGTAGATCAAACTGCTCGCGGTGCATGGGGAAACCCACCCTCTCTAAATAACTAACTAAATAACTATGTTCATATGTGCCTGATGATGACCTAATTATATGGTTCGAAACATGTAGCAGAGTTACGCTTAAATTAAACACATAAGACATATACCAACACCTGTTGTCTTTATTGAAGATATTCCCGTATTACTTGTTGTGTCGACGGTTGTACGTAATATAAGCAGTTACATTTACTTCGGGTCTGTGAACCTCGATTTCCCGGACTGTAAAGTGTCGCTCTACAAGCTGAATGAGAGTTTGAGTCTTGTTGGTGTCAGATATTTTTTCTCTTCGTCACCACGTTAGACCGGCTATGTAGCCGAACCAACCTCATATCCAAGGCCGCGCCATAGCTCAAGCGGTTACTCGCTGGCTTCCCACCGCGGCGGACCGGATTCGATCCCAGGTCTGGTCAAGTGGGATTTGTGGTGGACAAAGTGGCTCTGAGGCAGTTTTCTCCGAGTACTTCGGTTTCCCCTGCCAACCTTCATTCCACCAATTGCTCCACAATCGCCCTCACCTATCATCTGGGGCTGGTACAATAGGCCCGCAGTACAAGGGGCTTAGTCCCACCCCACTAGCAATAAAAAAAACTCCTATCCATTGGGTACCGAGAGCCTCCCCCCGGAAGTAGTGTTGCGGGGTGCGAATCTAAATATGGAGGAAATGAATGTGTACAGCTGTGCCCCCACTTCCTCATTCATCTTGGTGGTGTGGTACTCGTAATTCAGTATATTGTTACTGCGGGTCTTCATTGAATTAGACAAGTAAGAAAATGTTTATATATGTGTAACGAAACAACATTTTATTCAAATAAATATTTAAAAACAAATCGTATGTCATGGCTTACAATAGAATGTTATGTATTCTTCTCTTTGTTTTAAATATCAAATGATACTTGTGATGTCTAATCTAAAAATGGCCCAGAATAATTCAGATTATGCACTCCGCGAAGTTAACATAATTGAAATTAAGTTGTACATATCTAGGATAATAGATACAATTTCCTTCACTTTAAACAGTACATACTCGTATCTATTTGTATATTGGGCCCTTTTTATATTGGACGTCTTTGTGAATTGAGAATAATACTAATTAACGTAAATATTACGTCGGATATTATTTGTCTGATTTTTTATTGAAATTATCCGTTGTAGATGAAAACTGGAAACGAAATACCCTGATCGTTCATGTCCACTACATTTCCTTGCCTTTAACCTGAATTATACCGCTTATGTATTATGTTTGCCATCACTCTGTAGGTGTGCATGCCCAACATTACTTGCCTGAATGATGCTTCTGCTTCAGCTCTTCACGCACATCAGTCTGTAGGTGTGCATTTCCAACAACATTACTTGCTTGAATGATGCTTGTGCTTCAAGCCTTCACGCACATCACTCTGTAGGTGTGCATTTCCAACAACATTACTTGCTTGAATGATGCTTCTGCTTCAGCTCTTCACGCACATCACTCTGTAGGTGTGCATGCCCAACAGCATTGCTTGCTTGAATGATGCTTCTGCTTCAGCTTTTCACACACATCACTCTGTAGGTGTGCATTTCCAACAACATTGCTTGCTTGAATGATGCTTCTGCTTCGGCTCTTCACGCACATCACTCTGTAGGTGTGCATTTCCAACAACATTGCTTGCTTGAATGATGCTTCTGCTTCAGCTCTTCACGCACATCACTCTGTAGGTGTGCATGCCCAACATTACTTGCTTGAATGATGTTTCTGCTACAGCTCTTCACGCACATCAGTCTGAATGACCAACGGACAGTTGTCAAGCCTTTAATATTTGGAAACTGTGGTCATGACGTCGGGATATTTCATTCAATTTGATGTCACAGAGGCACGAAGCCCCAATCCATATATAGTCTGTAATTTATCCCTTGTGTTACCTAGTTACTCAAGCTGTGTTTTTTTATGTGCAAGTTTAAAGTATGGACGTTGTTTATATATCGCTTTTGCATGTATGCCGACGATAGTTTCTACAACTTTTTATTTTATTTTTGTCTTTTATTAAATTAAATTTGACGGCTGTTTCAACACACATTTCACAGAGGAGAACCCAGCATTACATATATGATAAATATACTAGCGCTATGTAATTATTCTTAGCCATCTAATTGGTCCGAACAAAATGTTATGTAATTACTAGTTTATTAACGTCTGAATTAATTGGTTTCGCATGATATGTCATTAGAGAAACTCTTTTCTGATGATGTCGTTTTTGTAAGTTTTTAGGATTTCATTGCGGTTAGAATTTGGATCGCAGTTCTTTAGCTTTTAACGCCGTGTGGGATGGATAGAGACTCAACTGTTATGTTTCTGAACATTATCCATCGTCCTGTTCCCTGTTTTTGTCTAAGAACGTTTCGGAGATTTGATTCTGTCTCCGTCTTCAGGTAAAACCTACGTAGTTGGACCCAATCGATAGAGCTGGTCCCTATCCCCGTACACCTGTACCAATACCAGGTAGGGTATACAAGCCAAGCACAGCATAAACCATCTGCGAGAGCTAAGACGAAACATTAAAAAAAAAAAAAAGGTATCCCTGTAACAGGCCGTGGAGGCCCATAGGGTTGTGAGATGTTGAGGTTCCCACATTTTCTAGACAGTCGGCTCATAGATGGCGGCAAGGTTGTCAGCCTTACGTGCCGGCCGCGCTTTACCCCCAAGAATATCCCTAGTACTCATTTCTGTTAGAGGCTGAGTCGACCCCAGGGCCATAGTGCGGCTGGAAGGATTAGGTAAATTGAAAAAAAACAGTGACTTCATCGGGACCTGAACCCGTGACCTCCGTCTTGTAGCATAGTGCCTCAACCAACTACGCTACCGCGTGCCCCTAAGACGAAACATAATATTAAAAACTGTGCAATGTCTTATACGTGTGGAGTTTTTAATATGTCAGTATTTTGTCTTAGCTCTCGCAGATGTTTTGTGCTGTGCTTGGCTTGTATACCCTGTTGGTACAGGTATCCGGGGATATGGGCTATCTCAGTCGATTGGACCCAACCGAGTAGGTTTTACCTCAAGACGGAGACAGAATGCAGTCTCCGAAACATTGTCTTTTGAAATAAGGCTTGGACGGCGTTTTAGACAAAAAAACCGGACGACGGATACTGTCCAGAGACATAATATTAGTATTAATGTACCATCGCCACAAGCTTTAGATCTTATGGATACAGATGTTTGGTGAAACCAACTGCCTTCACTTTAATGCGTAAAGCTAAATATGAAACCAGCAGGTTATTCCAAAACGTTAACATCCAGCCACAAGACTACACGGTGTCACAACCCAGAAGATCATCATGTAGATGCTGCTGTTATTTCTTAATTCTTAGTTTTTATGTTTCTATGTGGTTCGATTCGCATTTTTTTCAGGCCGTTGAGAGCAGAGGCCGTTGTTTAAGTTTCCGCTCTTCTTGCGGCTTTAGAATTCCAGATATTTACTTCGGGAGATAAGTTGTGCAAAGCTGTCAAGTGACAGCATCAGAGGATAGAGTTTAGCTTGGTAGGCTGTACTTTTTAAGATCCTGCAAGTAGATTGGAATTATAATATCCTCCTGTCCTGTAAAAATTGCTATTTTAAGCCCTTACGTGAAAGATGTTGGGTTTGAATTAATTTCCCACTAATTATATGTTGTATTCTTGACACCTTGCTTCACAGAAATTCGGTTTAATGACAACTGGGCGTTAAGAGAAAATAGGTTTTGTATAGGAGAACCATGAACCACACAGAAAGAGAAATGAATCCCAAACCCATGAAGTTCGCGTCAAAGTTACATTTATGATTAAGGAGTTCCGAACAGTAGGAGCGAACGTTCAAGTTTCGAGAAAAATCCCCATAAAGTTTCTGAGATATAAATCATATATCTCCCCTTCAAACTTCCCTTAATACAGTTCGGATGTGTTCCCATGATTGTGAATATACCTTCCTACCTATCATGGTGACCTTTCTGCACGTTCATATGTCCATTCATATTTGTTCAGCGCTCACATGTGTTCCTTCTGTCCCTCTTCATTCTGCAGCAATTGCAAGCATATTAGAAGCGAGCTCAATATTTGTGGACTTGGTGCATATTCTTTAACACGCTTCAAAGAGCATGAGAAGTAAAAAATAAATAATTCACAGTTTTGTTGAGTTGGCCCTTACTATTCGAAACGCCTGAGTTCGAGGACGTATATGGTATATTCTGAGAATTTGTACCCTTACCGACATTAATTTGCGTTTGGCAGAACATCACTGGTTTTTGTTTGAAACGTGGTTAAGACGCCGTCGTCACTCATGTTACGCATGCGCTGGTTGTTATCCTGAAGTTCTTCGCGTCGGTTTCCGTCTATTTTTCGTCTTTCGTGAGGTGGTCTGTCTTCTTGTCTTCGTTTCCGTCGTTGTAGCCATTGGTGGTGATGGAGAGGTTGTATCCTGCACCAACTTTGCTGCAGTTAATGGTGCTGTTACGTTTCTTGTTGTCGAAGCACTTGATGTGACCGTGGTATTGGACTTCCTTACTATAGTTGTCTTCGAAACGGTTGTTTTATTGGAACCCGAGGCTTTCTTGGACATCGCAGGGGTGGAAGGCGCCTTATTTACACTCATAGACATTTTTGGTACCGTTTTCTTCGTAGGAATCCAGGTGTCTTTAATCATATCGGCTCCTTTTTCTGCAATCATAATCGTCGGAGCATTAGTATTTCCACTGACAATGTAAGGCATGATCGATGCGTCAATGACTCTCAGACCTTGGATACCATAAACCCTGAGCTGTGGATCGACCACCGCGCTGCGATCGAACGGTGGCCCCATCTTACAAGTTCCAGAATGGTGGTTGAGTGTCACCGTTGACTGAACGATTGCACAGTTCCAGTACGCGAAAGTGCCGAAACGCACTGCTTCACAACCCGGTACAGGAGTGATATCTAGCACATATCTCATATCCCGTAGCACGGTGGTCTGAGATAGTCTTGCCATTATCAGGAGCCCTTCTATGAGGATCTGCATGTCTTGTGCTTCTGAGAAGTAGTTTGGGTACACTAAAGGAGGAACGAATGGATTTGTAGAGTTCACCTTCACAAGACCACGGCTTCGCGGCCTCAGAACTATCGGGCGTGGTATGATGTGATTGAAATAACAGAGAGGTTCCAGAGTAATAGGCTCAACTGCGCATGTCTGTCCTGGAGGCACGGTCACGTTTTTTGTTAAGGGGCTTGTAAGTCCTGTTGTAAGGTTGCGAATAACAACTTCTGAGTCGAAGGCGAATTGAAGATCGGGGTAATCGCCCATTGCTTTTGCGTACTGTGATCTTCCAAAAGCGATTGCTTGAAGAACGCCTATTGCAGACAAAGGCCCGGTACCTTCATGAATGTATTGAAGCAAATGATCTATCCTATCATTGAGGTTTGGTAGTTGAGCTGTATCGGTCAGTGTATAATAGACGCCTCCGGAACTAACGTGATCCTGGAGGTTGTAACCGACGCTCAAATCTTGAATAACAGGGATACCGAGTGGCTCAAGAAATTCCTTTGGTCCTACCCCAGACAACGAGAGTATATGCGGAGAATGGATGGCACCAGCACTGAGTATGACTTCCTTACTCACCATAACGGTTAATGTTGTCTTTCGGTCTTCTTCGAGAACGTACTGAACGCCAGTAGCTTTCTTTGATCCATCTATTAAGATCTTTGTCACTGTAGCATTAGTGACAATGCGGAGATTTGGCCTGACACGTCGGATTGGTGTCAGGAACGCCGAATTCGTACTCTGCCTCTCACCGTTCTTGGTCGTTGTCTGCGCACGCATGACACCTTCCTGCTCGGCGCCGTTGATGTCAAGTTCCCTGTAACCAATTTCTCTGAATGCTGCTATGAGAGCTCTGACATTTATGTCTTGGTAAGGAAGTACCTGAACGCTCTGGAAACCTCCAGTGCCGTGGTAAGTGGTGTCCGCTGCGTATTGTTTGTCCAGATTGTTCTCTGATTTAATGAAATACGGAAGCGTTTCATTGTAACCCCAACCTGTGTTCCCCAGTGCTGCCCATTGATCATAGTCTTGACGATTGCCTCGGACATACAGCATGGTGTTCATGACGCTCGATCCTCCCAGGACACGACCTCGTGGAATCGGGCAGCCTGTACGACCGCAGGATTTAGACTCCGGCTGACCCACATAGTTCCAGTCCACGCCACTAGTGTTGCCTTGCAGGAAAGGAGCGAATGATGGTACATCTGCTGCAAAAGGTTCTTCATCCCCTGCCTCCAAAAGCAAAATATTCCAGGCTGCCACTTCGGATAACCTGAAATTGACAAATATGTTGTAAAGAGGATTTTAATCGACGCTGTTTATGATGTTATTGTGTTTGTGTGGTTAAATGTCTGTGGGCGGTATGCTACCCTAATAATACTTTCCAGAGATAAATGTTGATGACTGATTATTAACAATAGAATGGAGTCGCTAGAATAGCGATAACAGCCCAAATTAATTAATTAGTTATAGTTGTGTGGTTTGAAACTTGATCAAGTTACTGACTATTCTAATTGAGGTTCTTCTCGGTTTTCCTCAGTTTCCTCGTTCGAATGGTTCTGTGGTACCTCATAGGTCGTAATAGACTGCTTCTGAATTATTGCTTCCTCATCACATATGTCAGGCTTACTTCTTATTCGACTGAGTAGAACACCTGCGGTTCAAACATCGTCCTTAAATAACCGAAGAACTGATCAGGCCTAATAACTGAGAGAATATTGATTTCTGATGACGATCTAAGGGTTTGAACGGTTGCGACAAGAGTAACTGCACGGCTTCCTTACTTGAAAGCAGTAAGCCGAAGCCGAATGAGTGGTTACACAGGCCGAAAATTAGGTTAGCACTCCCACATGAACACTGGGATAGCACTCATATGAACACTGGGTTAGCACTCTCATATAAACACAGGGATATCACTCTCATATACACACTGGGACAGCACTATTTTTATGAAAACTGGGATAGCACTTTGTTATGAAGACTGGGGCAGCACTCTCATATGAACACTGGGATAGCACTCTCATATGAACACTGGGTTAGCACTCTCATATAAACACAGGGATATCACTCTCATATACACACTGGGACAGCACTTTTTTTATGAAAACTGGGATAGCACTTTGTTATGAAGACTGGGGCAGCACTCTCATATGAACACTGGGATAGCACTCTCATATGAACACTGGGTTAGCACTCTCATATAAACACAGGGATATCACTCTCATATACACACTGGGACAGCACTTTTTTTATGAAAACTAGGATAGCACTTAGTTATGAAGACTGGGGCAGCACTCTCATATGAACACTGGGTTAGAACTCTCATATGAACACTGGGGCAGCACTCTCATATGAACACTAGGTTAGCACTCTCATATGAACACTGGGATAGCACTCTCTTATGAAAACTGGGGTAGCACTGTCATATAAACACTGCGATATGACGCTCATATGAACACTGGGATATTACTCGCATGTGAACACCGGGATAACACTCTCTTCTGGACACTGGGGTAGCACTATCATATAAACACATGGAATTAATTCTCAAACGAATATTGGGCCAACACTGATATTAATGAACGCTGCTTTTTTGCCTTTTTCATTTTTATATTTTACCATTGTATTCTCTGGAAATTCCCGGTGACCTTAGTCGCACGGTCTAAGACATGAAGTGTCTTCGCTCGCTCAGACTCTGGGATCGTGGGTTCGAATTCTACTTAAGGCATGGATGTTTGGTGTGTCTATGGGTTTATTCTGTTTGTGTTTTCCTGTGTGTAGGTAGCGGCCTTGCGACGGGGTGATCACTCGCCCAAGGAGTCCTACCGTCTGTGAAAAATGATTACGGAACTGGGCCCTGAATGGGCTGGAAGAGCCATTGCAAAAATTCTCTGGAGGTTAATAATATGTTGTGGAAACTTCTGCTACTAATTAATAGCTTTGAAATGGAAATTAATTAGACTGTGCTAGATAATAAATCAAACGACACGATTGTAATTTGAACTGTTTTGGAAATGTAATAACTTAAGCCTAGCCGAAGAGTGGAGATTGGAATTAAAATAAAATAATATACATATTCATGCATGTAAGCGAATGAATTAAATAATAAAATGCTTGGGGAGGCTGTATATTTGAAATTCCTTTGATGTATATGTTGCACATGTAGATTCCATATGAATTGTGTTCCTTTATATAGTGTCTTACCTGTTAGCTAAGACACATCCGGCCGATCCTCCACCAACAATGACAAAATCGTAAGTAGTTTTCATTGCCTGCATTTTCCCCACTCTCCCCGCGTTTTTGGTTCGGCTGTTGGCGATGGACATGATTAGGATCATGAATACGGTGGCAAAATTCAGGTTGTCCACAACACACATGCCTGACATGTCCATAGATGTCATGTCGGCAGCCATGGTCATGTCGGCAGTCATGTTAGCAGCCATGGCCGGAGGAGTCATGTTTGCAGCCATGGCCGGGGCAGTCATGTTGGCAGCCATTGTCGGGGCAGTGTTGTTCATTGCCGGTGCTGCCATCCCCCCCGCTAATGGGGGCGACGACGTGACTGATCTGGCTGGTAGTGGTTACCGGAATTCATTCAAACTGTCACGCCATTACTGCAAAAAAGTTACATACAGACAATTATTATTGTAATCTTGATGACATTAAGGTAAAGGAAACGGCCGCGCCATAGCTCAAGTGGTTAGTCGCTGGCTTCCCACCGCGGCGACCCGGGTTCGATCCGTGGCCTGGTCAAGTGGGATTTGTGGTGGACAAAGTGGCGCTGGGTCAGGTTTTCTCCGAGTACTTCGGTTTCCCCTGCCAATCTTCATTCCACCAATTGCTCCACAATCGCCCTCACTTATCATCTGGGGCTGGTACAATAGGCCAGAAGTGGCCGCAGTACAAGGGACTTAGTCCCGCCAGAAGTGGCCGCAGTACAACGGACTTAGTCCCGCTAGAAGTAGCCGCAGTACAAGGGACTTAGTCCCACCCCACTAGCAATAAAAAAAAGGTAAAGAACGCGAGATGCAGAGGAGTTCTGTCTTCTGGGGTATAGCGCCCTGTGGCCCGTTGGAAGTCAACTGACGTAAGAGCCTCAAACCCTACTGAGGGAGAAGTATTAATAGCGGAAGACAGGAAATTACATAATCGTGAGGTCTATAATTTTTACTCTTCTACGTAACGAAATCCATGCAACCGAGTCCTTGAGAGACCAGCGATGCCCACTCAATTTGTACGTTTCACCGATTGTTGTTATGGTGATCAAAACAAGGAAGACGAGAGATCCGCAAAAAACTTTTAGTTTGGAAACGTGAATGAAATAGGCCACGTTGAGGATGTAGACGTAGATATGAGGTAATATTAAAACTGAGGATGAGGTGGGCATGTAGCACGAATGGGGGAGACGAGGAATGCGTATAGTATATTGGTGGGAAAGCCAGAAGGAAAGAGACCACTGGGAAGACCAAGGCGTAGGTGTGTGGACAGTATTAAAATGAATCTTAGATAGGATGGGATTGTGTTGATTCGATTGATCTGGCTCAGGATAGGAACCAGTGGAGGGCTCTTGTGAACAGGGTAATGGACCTTCGGGTTCCATAAAACGCTGGGAAGTTCTGGAGTAGCTGCAGAATTGGCAACTCCATGAGTAAGTAAGAACATAAGTAATCTCGAGTAGATCGGGTGGAAGGGAGTGTACATTCGCATTACGAGTAGAATAGGGTTCATTGGCGGACTTCTGTGAACATGGTAAAGAACCTTCTGGTCCCATAAGACACTTGGAATATCTTACGTTAATAAGCGACTTTTAGCTTCTTAGAAAGGTCTGGCCTCCGTTGAACTGAATAATTTTCTCCATAACTACGTAGTTTTGTGTACTGACTGGATTAAGTGCTGTAGGAAAGAAGAATTGGGATTTCATTTCTGGCGATGTCAGAGATTTTGCTCGTAACCACGGCTTCCAGATGGACTCTGCGGTCAAACGGTTGGCTGAGACTGCAACTCTTATGCTTTATAATCGGAAGGTACGCAGCACAAATCCCGTCTTGGACACCCCTTGTTCTGATTGAGGTTTTCCATTCTTTATTCCTTTCAGAAAAATTCTGGGATAATACCTTAGATTAGGCCACAACCGCTTCCATCCAATTCCTTTCCAATTCATTATATTCGGTCTGTCGGCTAAATGGCTTCTGGTCCTCGACAGCATAGTCATTCTTGATTCCGAGGCCCGCAAGACTCATGACCATATTTTGCTGTCTCATGACACTGGGAGTCGTCCAGCTCACGAAAACTGTCCCCCTACCATGCCACGTTATATAGTCCAAGTTATACAAACAACGTCATTAAGTAAACTACAGATAAAAACAAACTCCGTGGCCTAAGTCCGCAAGCGAACTATAGCGACCGAGAGAACGCCGCCTATCGGCGAAGTTAGTGCCAACTTTAGCGGATAGAAGGCGTCGCGTGGTCAGCGCAACGGATCCCCACGGCCGTTATCCTCGGTTTTTTAGACCGAAGCTGCCAGTTTTCCATTGAAATAGCTTCTCAGTTATCCTCACAAGGCGGAGTGGACCCCGTCCAGACCCACTACTTCTCCGAGAATTTGGTAGCCCCGGGAATTCAACCCGAGACCTCTGGATGTGTATCCAGGAACTCTAATCACTAGACCACAGAAGCGGTGAAACTACAGATAAATAAATGAGTGAAGTTTCTTTCAGTTACATCACTGCATCATGGCTCAATAAACGGTGTATACTTTTAGAAGATGTTATAACAGAAAATATCAGAATCTTAATTCAGGTAGCTTCAGTGGCTATTCCTCTTCGGAAGTTCGCACAGCCACCGTGTTGGTATTATTGATGTCGAGGAATTAGAAAGTTTAGAGGTGCATTAATCGCTAGAGGAAAGATGATATTGCCGAATTTCATGATAATCCGCCAGTTGGTTCAGAGGTTGGCGAACTGGCACAGATTGAAATACGTACAAGCCTATCCTTGCCTATAATACAGTGAATTGTCTGGAAAATCTGCCGTGAAACGAAAGAAGGCCCATCCATTACGGTTTACCTCGGCGTGACAGAAGAGGCGTCCAACTCTACCGACCGAATCCTCGCTTACGAAAAGGAAAGTAGGCTAAGAAATGTAAGCCGATGTTATATCCAGCCGCAAGTAGCTGTTTAATTTCTGTACTGTCTTAATTGCACTGTCGTTGGACTCACACCCTCCAAAGATGTCATTACTTTCGTCTACACGAAGTTCTCTTGCTTGCCGGCCCAGAAGCTTTACTGTCTCGGTGGCCCTTCTTTGTGGTCACGTCATGTCATGGTCTTTTCAGTCTTAAGTAATAATTTTACCGGGAAAATCATCATAATCAAGATCGAACTGTAATGGAATGTAGATAATGATCGAAGTCATTGCACAGGGACTTTCTTCCGTCGTGCAAGGCGAGTCGCTAGTAAAAATCAATTTCAAACCAGACGTAAACAAAAATGTAATTATTACTCTACAAGAAATATGGAAAAAAATATTGTTGTGTTTATAATGATAATATTACTTGTAAGTCTGTTGTATAGTTTTTTAATTGCTAGTGGGGTGAGACTAAGTCCCTTGTACTGCGGCGACTTCTGGCCTATTGTACCAGCACCAGATGACAGGTGAGGGTGATTTTGGAGCAATCGGTGGAATGAAGATTGGCAGGGGTAACCGAAGTACTCGGAGAAAACCTGTCCCAGTGCCACTTTGTCCACCACAAATCCCACTTGACCAGACCCAGGATCGAACCCGGGCCGCCGCGGTGGGAAGCCAGCGACTAACCGCTTGAGCTATGTATAGTTACTTTTCAGTAGTTACTCTTACGTCGAATTTCATTAGAGTTTTTTTATTGTAATCGTATTTACAGTGCGTGTACTTCCCCCCCCCCTTGGCACTACAGTCCCAGTGGGCCTAGGCCTACCTCCATGAACTTCTTCGTTCACTTCGGTTTTTCGAGATCTTACACATTCGGTAGGACTCCTTGGGCGGGTGATCAGCTCGTCGCAAGGCCTCTACCTGTACACAAACACAGAAAAACGCACACAAACATCCATGCCCTGAGTGGGATTCGAACCCCTTAGACCGCTCGGCTACCGTGACCGGCACGCATGTACTTTACTATAGTAAATACATTTTGAAGTGAAATCTTAGGTTCAGTCTTCGTGTTGTCACGTATCCTGGTAAGGAGACAATTAATGAGTTCCGGATTAGATGAATCGATTTATTGGATTTTCACCAGGCGGAACTACAATTAGTTGTAAAACAGTCTTAATGTAATTATAACTACATACTGTATCGCTCAAACAACCTACTGTTAATGTAAATAAAATAGATTTTCTCAAAATGTGACACTTTTTGTTATTTAATTTCCCACGCGTTTTCATATTGATTGTGCAAATGAAGTTTTTCTTTCACGTCAAATCATATTTCCACATCCCATTGCTCTAGACTTTCCCTCTTTTTACTATGCCTTTCATTGGTTTGAAAGTCTTTGTAACATCCATAAATATGTGCTGCTTAGTTTATTTAATGGCGCTTTCTCAGCTCCTGTGGTATAGAGAAGTGTTCTCAACTGCCGGACCGCGGCCCGATTCCGGGCCCTCATCTCATAAAAAGAATTTACCGCGCCGCGGTCTCACACAGGTTGAGAACCACTGGTATAGAGTACCGATTGAGAGGATTTCTTTTAATTTCTTGCTGTTAAGAGACTTTAAAGAAGTAGGCCGTTACCTATTTCGAGATATTTTTCGAGCATATACCTGATAGGACGTAGGAAAACCACGAAGAATTTTAGTTAAAAGAAGCCGGTCTGCTGAAGATGAATCGAATCTGGGACCTCCAGAATACATACGAGGAGTGCTGACCGTCGCGAGATTCGATACAGGTCCATAATGAAGTGATGATAACAATGGAAAATAGAATTCCTATTCTGATATTTTTCGTCACTAGAGATTTTTGGAGCCTTTATCAGAAAAATAATGTCCAACTTGAGGAAATGATGCAATCAAGTTAGTACTTCTTTCCTATCGGAATGTAGGTATAAGAGCCGTCGACGACATGGCACTTTTTCAGACCTTGCCTCGCTATATTTAAACTTTCACTTTCTCAATCCTTGTAAAAAGAGTATTGGCTGCCATCTCGAACTCTTTGTAACAAATTTCATTCTCACTGAAGTGAATCATTTCGTTTCACCCAGTCGGAGATCTTTCGATGTTTTTATACACAGACTTAATTTAAATCTTTATAGTGTGGAATGAACTATTTGTGATAGTGGTATTCTCTTGCTTATTTATAATGACTTAACATTTCCAGAAGCGATTTACATACTTCCCCGAGTTACGCGTCCATCAGAAAGCTGAAGTGAATCTGAACAATTCTAAACAATATTTCAGACTTCAGTTCCTGTTTCACAAAATGCTGGCTGCCTCGGTTAATGCTTTTTCGGAAAATAATCGGCATCTTTTATGAGAATCATACGAAACATATTGTCACGATTTAGGTGGTGGGGGATGCGTGACTTAAAAGACAAGTTTTGGATTAGATGATTGGATTTACTGGTACCTTATACACAATACTTGGTACTA